CCCCAAAACCCCAAAACCCCAAAACCCCAAAACCCCAAAACCCCAAAACCCCATAATATTCCCCAAATGTTGATTACACAAATTTATAATTTTTCTTCTTTCTATTAATTTTCCTCTTCCCGCGGCCTAGGAGTCATTTATGGTACTTACTCTCATTAGAAAGCTCCTTACGCATGATTGCATTATCCAGGGAATTGTCTTCCTCAATCTTCTGTATCTTGGCTTTTCTGCCATTATTCTGAAGATTTATTGATGTATTTCAGCTAGGCGTCTCGATTGCTTAGAATTCAACAGTAAAAACTTACTTCACATCTTCAAAGTGGTTGTTTCTTCATTAGCTTCTAAAATCTTATGTTTCCCGTTCTTCTTAATAAGCGGAGTATTGTCTAAGACTGGAGTCTTAGAATGGTTGTCCTTCACCTGTAAGTCTAGAGAAATTGAAGAGACTTCATACCTTCTAAAATTTCAAGCTCTTTTACAGCTTCATTCTGGTTCATCTTCTTCACGTTAAGCTGGGATTTCAGATTCTGAACGGTACTGTCTAGGATGGAACTATCGCTACAGATACTACTGCTCCTATCATGAGGTGAGTCTGGGTCTATCTTCTCCATAACAGGTGGAGTCGCCTTCAGAGGAATAATAAGTGACTCTGGAACATCGCTTTCCTGCGATTCAATAATTTTGCTAAATTTCTTTCTTGTAGAATGGCTTCTTATCATCTTTGAACGGCTTAGACTTGCATTTATACGCTTTTGTACTCTCTGTGTAAAGCATCCAGTATGAATTATCTCGTTCCTTTTTCTGGTTTACTAGTTTCTTCAAAACCATTGTGATAATACTATAATCATGAGCAGCAATAAGTCCCGCCACGAAGGCATCCTCGATTGACAAGTCTTTGCTAAAAGGTTTCAATTTCTCTAACAAAATGGGAAAGTGATCTTGCTCGATACCCTTTATTCTTTTCTGGCCTTTAAGTTCCAACTCTAATTCTTTGTGGTCAGGAGGTAACTTAGCCATTAAAATCTGAACGGTTCTATAATTTATTCAATAAATTTTGAAAAATTTGGGGTTTTGGGGTTTTGGGGTTTTGGGGTTTTGGGG